AAGAAAAAACCACAGTTAGTTGAAAAGTTAAGACAGGTGTGGCCAGTTAGAACATCTGAAACAAATAGGTTTAAAATCGGAAGTAGTGCGGTAGCAGATTTAACTATTTCTATAAACAAGCAACAGAATAGTAATGAGGACTCACTGTGCACAATGTTTTTGATCCTTGGGCTGGGAACAGTTTCTGTTTTCAGTCCTGCACTGGTATCCTGCACTAAACTTTTATTCCAGTGTTAGTCAGAATAAGAAAGTTACTCAATACAAATGAGCATACGAGAATATTACATAATATCCCTTGCAGTTCAAAGACAAAGAACAAGGAAGAACATACAAAGGCATGGAAGAAATTCCTCTCATCTAAGACATCAAAAGGAAGAAAGGTCTGGGATAGCTGTAAAATATTTGAATAGCATTTCCTTCTACAAATAAAGACCTTTCCTTATAGAAACATCTCTGCAAATGCAGTATGAAAAAAATGAATTCTGAAAATTCAGGTATAATGGAAGTATTCAACAAATGATATCTAATTGCTGCATAACAAAAAAAGAAATCCTTCACATCTTCTGCATTTTGAATATTTTCACGTTTTCCTGATTAGCATATTTAATTTATTCAGTTTTATACAATCCATCATACATATTCATAAATATTTTGTTTGGGTTTAACAGTAAATAAAATTAATAGTGTGTCCCTAATTTAATCTTCTTGTCTGATACAATATATCAAATTTAATTTACCTCTGTAACTAATGCTTGGAAGGGAATTTTTTCATTGAGTTACGCCTTTCAACACTTTTCTTGTAGGTAATGGAATATATAAAAATAAATCACATTTCACGCAAGCATTTTATGGTAGACACACACACACACACACACACACACACACACACACACGGCTGGGCTTCGCGAACGAAGATTTGGGAAGGGCTCTATCCACATTTGTTACAGGCACGTTGGTGACTTATGAGGCCAATACGAGACAGACATATCCAATTGCAATGTCATCACCAAATATCCAAATAAGCTCAAACCTTAAGTATTAAAATGAAACAGTTAACTTGCAGATAAATCTTCAAATCTTCTCACCTAAAAAACTATTTTTAAAGGTCTAATGAACTGTTAGGGGTAAGAACTGAAAATTACCGTATATTAGATTCTTTCTCATCTTTAAGATAAATACAGATTTATTTTAGTTGGACATAAAAATAAATTCCAGTACTCTGATTTATTATCTTAAATCATAGAAAGGTTAACTATAATAATGCATGAGGATGTGCCTTTTTTTACCCTCATTGCCTAGGGAAAATGTGAATATATTTCCCTCACTTAAATAAAATACATGGCTGAACTGAGATTAAAATTAGAAATGTATTTCTGAACATATGAATATGACAGTACTGACTATATTTAATAGCTGATGACTATAACTGTTGTGCTTGAGTTGGCCTTCCATTCTCTAAAATAGAATTCTTTATGTATCACACCACGTTGCTGAATACTGTTAATCTTCAATATATTTAACATAGTAGGCTAAAAAAAAAATTCTTGTGGGTTTTACTTCAAGAAAGTATGTTTGAGACAGTCAGTCAGTTTGGTCAGACTTTTTTTTGGTCTATTTTGGAAAAAAAAAACCACAAAAAAACCAACTCACCACAAAACAAGACAGAAATTTTGTGGAAATTTAAAATTCTTCCTGTCATGGGAGCTACATTTTAAGACATAGGCTAGAGCCTTTCATTCATAAACATTTAAGAAGGAGATAATTTAAATTCTCTTGTTTGACGGGCTTTTTGTGGTTATTTATTTTGGGTCTCTTTTTGTTTAGGTGTCCATGTATTGCCCCCCCCACCTCCCAAATTAATATGAGACTGTATAATGGACTTCGCTAGGAGTCTACAAGCTACCTTTTTTTATTCCTAGGCTGTATGTGACACTAATACACTCAATATCATTTCTTTACTATTAGAATAATTTTGAACTTAAAGAATTTCTGTTATCCTCTTTGGCTCATTACACAGTTTTCAAAAGTAATGCATATTCAGCACATACAGCAAGAAGAGTCAGGAGTGAAGTTTGCACACACTGTCAACAACTCCTAGTGGCCTAATCTTTGGAGTTTCTGAAATACGCAACTAAGCTTCTTCTCAGAAATTAGGAACATCAGAGAAGTCAAGCCACTACTGGGAAGAGAAATCTGAAATATTATTTGATAATTATGTAGCTGCCAAGTACTATTAACACTTTCTCAAAAAAAAAAAAAAACAAACAAAAACAAAAACTTTTTTCTTAAGTAGATACTCTTAGTATCTTTTCTATCTCTTCTTCTGTCACCCAAAGGTGTCACGAGTGACAGCGGGTCTGTCAGCACCTTGGCACATACTGACGAAGCAATAGATGTTGACCAGATCAAAGTATACCCCTGAGATGGACTGAAAGAGAGGACTGAAAATGGAGGCCCTGATCCTGACAACATACTGATGCATCCTGAAGAAGCTGTCCTGTGGGAACAGAGAACACTGTCTCATGAGAACAGGAGCACTGTCTCATGAGAACAAGGACCTGTTTTGAACGAGAGTGGTTGGGAAGAACATCAACATGAGAGAAAAACAAGAGCAGGTGCTCGGGACTGTTGTGGGAAAGAACTGGGCTGTTTTGAGAAAGAGCAAAGCTGTTGTGAGAAAATAGAGTTTAGAAAATGCACCTATTAGCTGTAAGAATTCTGGTGTGAAAGTTTGAACTGTCCTATCCGTGTGCATTACGTGTGTTCAAAAACTGTACTTAAGGGGCTGCGCAGCAGCCCCGGGTGGTTGTCCCTGCTTTTTTCTTGGAATAAACTTTGCTGGAACCTTTTTTTGTGTCGCTTTGGCCATTCCGACATTATCAGCGACACAAAGGTTTGTTCATTTTGGCATTTCTGTGGATTGAGAGCTTTACAGACCATGAAATCAAAGGAAAAACTCATGCAACATCTACAAGTGGAAAGCTTTATTGTGAGCAAAGAAGATGGCTTCATTTTTCCTTCAATACCAAACTGAGTATTCCAAGTATAGTAGGAAATCTATAGACTTTAGGGGAAGAAGAGCAAATTTAACTGAAATGGAGTCAAGGGGAGATTTCATGTGCTAGTTCACCTGGAGAGATTTATTCCTCACTTTTTAAGAGGTATTACCGAAAAAAAAGAAATCAAAACAGTAGAATGATAGGTGTTTTTTACTATTTTTATTGTCAGTAAGGCAAAGAAATTCTCAGCACATACCTAACAGAGACTATTGAAACTGCGTAAAAAAAACCAAGTCATTGAATTATGACAACTCTACTACAATATCCAGGTAAATATTTCTTCTACCATACTCAGAATTACTATGCAATTGATAGTGTTGGCATGTTCATAGCTACAATCTGACACCACACTTTTTCAATATGCTCAGGTTACTTAATCTCATCACATAGGGACACAAACTACAGTGATACTACTGAAATGCTATTGCTACATAACTGAAGATTCTGCAGCACCTGCAAAATTATCTTACCACAAAACCCCACGAACACCTGCTAGTAAAATTAATGGAATACTAGAGGAAAATAAGGGAGGTATGGGAAATACCAGTAAATCCAAAATTCTCGTTAGAAAATCCAAAATTCAGGGAGAGTTTCATTATAAGAATATATAATTTTGACTCTTAAAATACATGGAGAAGGTTAGCACTAAAACAGTACCAATCATCTGTGGAAGATACATTTCCATTCACCTTCTTAACCTTTCAGTTGGGAGGCCTGGGTGTTGTAAACAAAGGATAAAGTCACCTGTCCTTCTCTAATTCAGAAGTTTCCTAGCTATATTGAATCAAAAAGGCACAGCTGTGGAATTAGAGCTTTTCCCATAAACCTAAATGCATATAATGTATTTGAGAAATTTTTTGGAAAATGAAACACATGAAAAACATTCAATTGTGAAAGCCAATAAATTGGTATTAATTATTCAATCAGTTTTTTGGATTCCTGATACTGGAACTGTAACACATCAAGAGTAGTAATACTAAATTTATTATTAACAAAAACAAAAAAGAAAAAAAGGAAAAAAAAAAAGAAACGGTTAAACTCTTCAGTTGATTTGTAATGATTTAGTTACTGCACAACTACCACAGTTTTCATCGCCTCACAACTAGGGAAATATAAGTGCACGCAGAACTGACCTGAGCTACAACACTGGGGCTCAGGGGCCCAGTGTCTGTTAGGTGGGACTTAAGGCACATCCGCTACCACCTCTTTGCAACGTCCCAAGGACAGTACATTTCACGCAGAGAGAGAGATTTGCTATGAGCGCTGTAGCTCAGGAGAATCTGAGAAATATGCATTGCAAGAAATCAAGAGAAGAGAGAGTGAAAGCACATCATTTATAAAACAGCTTGACTGAGCAAGTAAGTCTGATTACCTGCACTGTGCAACTATTGTCATGACGGCTCAACGGGGAGCACGTTCATTTGTCACTTCCACCAACCATATCTCAAGACATACAAGTATTACATTGAATGCATCCCTCAGCAGTTGGCTTGCAGCCCGCTTTCTGGCACGTCTCAAATCCTTAAATAAATGCTCAGGACTATGCTCACTCCTCTCCATCACCCTATTTCTAACCTCTTTCAAAGTGTCTGCACACCAGCTTTAGCTCACTGGCTTTGTGTTTTCCCAGGTTACTCTCCATTACAGGTATTTGCGCTTGAAATAGGTGAGAGTGCTCCTCCCGGGGCTCCACGGCCTGCGGGACCCTGCCAGGGCCAGGGTGCTGCCAGAGGGGCATGACCCAGAGCGGGTCAGGGTGGTATAAGGAGAGGGAGAGGTGGAGCGGGGTAGGGTGGTGTAGGCAGAGCGGGACAAGGTGTTGTAGGAGGAGCGGGACAAGGAGCTGTATGGAGGGCGTGTGAGGGTGCCGTAGGCGGTGCGGGTGGATGAGGAGTAGCCTGAACGCCCCTCGGGGCTCCACAGTGACCGGGAGGTGGGAGCCCATGTGGACTGGGAGCCCAAACGAGTGGTGGTGTCATAGGAGGGGCCCCACTGAGAACCACACAATGAGCGAGACCCCTGTGTGCCCACAAACCGGGAGATGGAACGAGAGGTAGGGGCACAGAGGGAGTGGGCCGTGACAGCTGACAGGGGGCGTGGGGATGGGGGGCACGGGAGGCAGGCTACTGCCGATGACTCCAAGGGTTGAGCTGCAGGAGAGCTGGCAGGGCGGGCCCCCACGGCCCCCAGAGAGGCAGAGGTAGGGGAGCACAGCGAGTGGGCTGCGGGGGGCCCTACTGGGCGTGGGGCCGGAGAGCACAGTGAGTGGGCTGCTGGGGGTCCCACGGGACGGGAGGCTGGGGAGCTCCCCATCTGCAGCCCTGTTGGGGTGGTGCTACGGTCAGCAGCGCGGGGCACCGGGGAAGCCACTGGGCAGGGGCTCGGGGGGCACACACCGCGGGCTACCGGAGCACTCAGGGGTTGGGAGGCCAGGGTGGCCATTGGGCCACACGGAGGCTGGGTGGTGGGAGAGGGTGTGGAGCCACAGACAACATGCGAGATGGAAGCACCAGGCACTGAAAGGGGTGCTGCAGGTGGCATGGGACTGCCAATGGTGTGGACTACTGGAGAGCACATAGAGTAGGATGGTGGAGCAGACATATGTGTAGGGACTGCCTGGGTGGCCACAGCAGGACTGGGGCCAGCCATGAAGTGGGTCAGCAATGCACTCACCGCATTATTCGCGGGGACAGAGACAGAATAGGACATCGGCCCCCCTCCAGCTCCAGGCAAGTGCGTGGGAGCAGGACCTGTCTCAAACACCACATGAGGCATAGGAGTACACACAGGGTTGGATGCTGGGGCAGGCACGGAGCCATACATGGATGAAGGCATTGGAGTACACGTAGCAGGAGGCACAGTCTCGCATATGACACGGAAGCCAGGATCACATCCCATCTCAAAACCAGAACTGATGCTTGGATTGAATCCTTGGTTGCAGATGGAGTTGCATAAGGGATGGCCCGCAGGGAGGTACACGAAGTCGTACACAGGCTGGCCCCCTGCACTGCAGTTTGGGTTGCACACTGGGATACATATATATTCACACATGGAGTTGAACGCAGGGTCTGCCACAGGGACAGGCCCAGAGCCATTCATGGGGACAGAGCCATTCTCACACACTGGGACTGACCCATTCTGGCTGACAGGCAGGACACCGTTTTGGCCTGCAGAGCAACACACTTCAGCCTTGGCACATCCCTTGCAGTAGGCAAACTTGTGGCATCCAAAGTTGGCCAGGAGCCGGTGGCTGCCAAGCCTGTAAGGTGTGAACTCCACAATGGTCCGTGCTTGTTGGTTGGATGCCAGCGTTCCCAAACTGGAGCAACAGAAGGAAAAGAATTAGGACCCTGGGTAGCTCAGAGACCCGAAGCACTACAAGATGAGCACACAAAACTGGGTTTGATTTGCTACAACAGTTTTAGAGACAAAGTGTTTTGATAACTTTTTATTCTTGACTTCCTCCAAAAAAACCCACATTCTTTGTTTTGGAAAGTGTGGTAAAAACTTCTGTCCCAAGAGAAAATTTAGAAAACTCCTGTAGTCAATTCTGTAATTGGAACTGGAAAATAATTTGTGATATTGTCTTGAATTCTTCAAAAATGTAGTGCCCTTCTGCCTCAAAGATGTATTTACTGCTTCCCATTTCCAGCAGTCTAAGTTTGATCAGGCAGCTTTTTGGAATTGACTTCATTATTATTCAGTGAGAAAAATTCCTAATTGCTTCCCCTCAAAACTAGTCATACTTTTGTCAGTTCTCCTTGTCACAAAGAGCAGCAATGCATATTAATGAACAGCTACTTTTCCTAGGAAAACTAACTGCAAGTTTCCAGTTTCCTGTGATTAACGTTATGAGTTTAGAATGCATATTGCTATTTCTCACTGTCATTCTCTAATTGTTCCTATATGTGGTGCCAGTTCATGAATATTTAGAGGAATTACATTAAAAGTCGATAGGACTGTAAGGGGCTCAGTTAGCACTTCTTGTAAAGACAAGAGTGAATTCCCTTTCAGACAGGAATTTGATATATCTACTTAAATTAAATCTTGAGAAAAATGAAGCAGCAGTGTATCTGCCAGCTTTAAATGATCCATCAGTTTCAAGAGGAGTAAGGTTTTTAATGGAGTCTCAGACTAATAAAGGACAAAAAGTCCTGTTCGGATGTTAAACACCAAAAAATCAGAACTAAGGTCTTCTTCGAAACCTGCTATGATCTTGCACACCTTAGTCACCCCCCAATATTATCCCCATTTAAATAACTGATGATCTTACTCAATTGTCATTGGCTCTTTGAATAAACCACAGCCTTCTAATGTCATTACACAGTTCTTCATATCTTCTTGGAGAGGATTGCAGAAGGAGATCTCTGCAGTACATGGTACCTTTAGTCTGGGCTGGCTCAGTAGCTAGTCAGAAAATAAACACATTTTTTGTTTTGTAACCCTTAGAAAATTAACACTGAAGTAAATAAATGTAAGGAACAAACAAAAAAAAAGGTGTTATTCATACATGTTTCTCTCTGATTTACTTCTATGATCTCTATAACTTAAGTCAACTGTTATACTTTAAAAATCATATTGATCTTGTTAAAATAAAACATATAGTAAAAAAAAGAAAAATGTGAAGTATTTCAAGATCGTTGTCCTTGTACCTAGGAGATAACCAATAAGAATCCTTAAGTCTGATCCTTAGATCACAAATTCCATGATTGGAGTTCTTTACCTTTACAATAACAGGTGGTCTGTTGATCACGATATCCCTGCTCACCATCAGAACTTCTCCACACTCTGGGTCTGAGACAGCAACTACTTTCATAATGTTGTGATCACACAGGTAAGGTCCATATTGACTATAGGATATACACAGTGGAATTTTTTTTACTGTAAAACAAATTAATTTTTTTACAAGGAGATTAGTTTATTATTATTATTATTATTATTATTATTATTATTATTATTATTATTATTATTATTATTACTCAAAATTTGGAAACTTTCATTCCAGTGCAATCTTCAAGGAATAATTCAAACGTAGGCAAATTAAAGTTTAGTAAAATAGAATTTTAATATCAGTGTGAAATTTTGTCTTATAATGATGTGGTTTAACTAAAAGTGTCTTATTTTTTCCAGAAAAAAATATATTAACCATAGAAACCAGTGTTTATGTTCTGCTACACCTTTGCTCTTCCCAACATATGGTATGTCTAGGTGCTCTAAGCGAGTCTTTTACACTGGCTAATATCTTCTGGCCAAAGAAAATAATGCTTTTCTGACAGACAACTGCAACCTAATCTTTGTATTGAGTATAGAGACCAGAATTGAAATTTTATTGGAAACAATTTTTTAAAGAATCTGTAAGATTTGAGAAATTAAGGAAAGACTACAGTGTATCTGTCACTATACATGTAGTATTGACGCTGTGTTAATTTTTGAGTGATCACCCTACAGGGAATTCAGCTATTCAGTATTTAACACTGTATACATTTCACTCCCCACCTCTATTAGGAAGTCTCCACAAATCCTAAATCAGCAATCTCCTGAAAAAAAATAGGGTATGAGACAATTTCACCTTCTTACCTTCTCTTGGACCCAGTGTGACATTCACACTGTCTTTCCAAAACTGATCCATTGGGCAACCACTATAGGTTATAATTTGTGCGCACAAATTAAACTTCAGGGTTTTGTTTTCATTACGCAAATTTTCAAGCAGCCAGTGCAGCTGGACATCTTCACCATACATTGGGCAGTTAGCCATCTTTAACCTCATGTTGATACCAGAGTCACTCAAAAATGGGTTTTTCAGAGATGATAACTCTCTGTCAATATGACAGTTGGAAGCATTACAGTACCCTGGGTGAATTCTTCTGTAAGCCCGGTAATAGGCTTCTTTGTTTTTCACAGAACCTGTTGAAGAAGACACGATAATGAATCTGCTGGAGGTACATGAAGCCTATTATTATTCTACCCAAATAATAAAGATAATTAAATTTATTGCTGCTTCTTCTTGGAACCTAAAATACCCAGCTGGTGTAGCACAAATCCACCAGATAATGAAACACGAGATACAGCAGTCTGAATGCACAAAAGAAAATAAATGTCTCATGAAATAAAAGTTTAAAAAAATTATTTTACTTTTAAGTAGTTAAATTTAAAGATGGTCATGTAAATCTTAAAATGTATGGTTAGTAAAACTAAAAATATAATTCTTTATAAGGATAAGGGTGAATATGGAATCCTACCAGGTCTCCCAAAAGGCAAAATACACCATTAAAAAAAAGAAATTATCACTTGTTTTCTTTTTTTGTTCCTATTAAAAAGAAAACAAAATAAAAACATGCAAACACATAAAAAACACACACTAAAAAATCCCCAAACAAGTAACCAAAAAAAAAAAAAGAAGAAACCCACAGAGCCTGCAATTGTACAATCAGCTGTGATCCACCCTTCATTCCTTTAGGCAATTCTGCCTATTGAAATCCTCCCTTCTACTGGAATATGAAAATCAGTAATCCATAGCGCAAAGTAAGAACAGCAGAATATTTTAATAATATGTGAATTTAGTAAGTAGGCATATTTTCTGGCAGACTTGGTACAAGAAGCAACAAGTAAGACATTAATCCTAGGTTTAGAAGAATTTGTGTGTTTTTTTTAGATTCTCTCAAGTCTGGTAATATTTTAAACTACTGTACAGGTGAGACAAAAACATGTACATATGAATTGTGTTATTCAAAGGGCTGGAAGGCATGTCCTTAGAGCAGCTAAGGACTTAGGGTTTGTCTAGTTTGGAGAAAAGGAGACTGAGGGCTGATCTAGTTGTCCTCTGCAGCTTCCTGATAAGGAGAAGTGGAAAGGAAGGTGCTAAGCTCTTCATCCCAGTGTCCAGTGACAGGAAGTATGGGAATGGTTTAAAACCATGCCAGGAAAGGTTTAGACTACACATTAAGAAGTATTTCTTTATTGAGAGGCTGGTCAAACACTAAACCAGACTTCCTAGAGGGGTGAGTTGTGTCCCATGGTTGTCAGCACCTTAAAAAGAGGCATATGGACAATGCCCTTAATAGTATGTTTTAATTTTTAGTCAGTCCTGAAGTGTGAGGCAGTTGGATGAGATGATCATTGTAGGTCCTTCCAACTGAAACATCCTATCCTATCCTAAATGCATCTAATTACTATGTGCTTTGTTTGAATCATCTAAACACATTTAAGTTTAAGAACCAAGATCTTTGAACAGAAAAGAACCTTCCTCCTTCTCAAAAAAAAGGAAAAAAAAGATAATTTCAGATTATTCTACACATTTTAACACAGGAGAAATTACATTGATATTTTTATATGATTAGCATATAAAATTCCCTCTATACTTTCATCATACCTAGTTCATACTTGTAAGCTCCAGTGATATCTTCAAATTGCTCACTGCCAATACTCTTGGTGATTAGACGCTGTCCACATGGCCAAGTGTCACAGAAAAATTTTGTTCTTTTGCCATTGTTTTGGGAAAGCCAGCCAACATAGTTTGAATTTACTCGAGAAAACATATGATGACCATCATAATCCAAGTCCAGTTCCCCTTCCCTGATGCTTCGAACCCACGTAGGACCACTGCAAGCTGAACCTAAGCCACAGAACAAAAGTGTTATAACACATTGTAACCTGACTACAGAAACTCAACAACATAACACCAGGAAAATGATTACAACTATGGTAAACTGTTACCTCTACCAGTTTCCAAGGGTGTTGGATCTAGACACTGCCAATCACCACAGCACTGATTTATGTCTCTGCGAGCCATCCAAGATTCATTCCAGCAGTGATATCGCCTGTAGGATGAAGGAAGACATTTCTTGGATTATCACATTTAATGCCTTACAATAGAGAAGAACCATACCAGAGATAATATTTTAATCAACAGAAGTCTTTCTATGTCTTAACACTGTTAATGATGTTTGGGGATAGGAGTGGTTTTGTTTGCTCAGACTGGAAATTTGCTTCAGAACCCCACGGACCTGATTGTAAAATGTGCTTCTTTTAGTTGATAACATGCCAACACAGTTCTTTTGTTTAAACAGTTTCTTTTCCTAACACTTTCCTCCTGATTCTTTAGATGAAAATCATATACTTAGTTATATTCTTAATAGCTTAACAAAATATAAACCCTTAAGTATTTTATGCTAAAATCATATCCTCATTACCCTAGTATTTCAGTTTGACCTCATCTTTTTGACACGTGATATGGCAGAAAATTCATTAAAAGGTCTCACAGATGAGATTTGGACACAAAAAAAAAATTTCCCATGATCTACCTCATACTTTTACAGCTACTAAGTTTGATAGCCTTATATTTCAGCTGAGAATAAACAGCCAGCATGGATTCTCACAAGAAGCTTTGCTTTTTTCTTTTCTGAAAATATACATTAAGTGGACTGCCTCTTTAGTAATTTCAAGTTTTTGAAATGTATTATTAGAAAACTGAACAGCCTTGCTACACCAGAGAAAGAGAAAAACCAAAGAGATACATTGATCTGCTAGATATACCAGTTTTTATATGATTAAATTTTTTTAAAAGAGCAAAAGAGCTTTATATTTTTCTTATTTACCATAGCTTGTCTTTGCCACACAGGTTTTTACCAGTACAGTCAAAAATCTCATTGATACCAAGGGGATTCTCAGTTGAGCATGGAAAACAGAAATTCGTTACAACACGGCTTGGAATTCCCAAACACCTCATCACTGAAAGAAAAAAAACATGATTGAGTCATTATAAATCACAATTAGTTAGGCAAATCCTTCACTCATTTTATAAATAATTATTGTATATCCTACTTTGCCATTATAGAAACAGAATGGATTAGAGGCAGCATTTAGGATGCAGTGATTCTGTCTTCAAAACTTGTTTTTAGTTCTTGCAAAGTAGTCTGAAAAAAGCCCAGCAAAAAGGAACAGTTTCTTACTCTTCCAACTTAAAAAAAAACCAACCAAAAAACCCCCAAAAAACCCCACAAAAAAGCCAAAACAAAACCCAAACCAGATCTGTTTTAAGTTCAGAAATCATTAACCTGATTCTGCATTAACAAAACACCATTTTTTTCTTGTAAACAATGTGGTACAAATCTATGGCATTTCAATTTATCTGTCTTTAATGTACAAGCTGGTTCAGTAAATAAATGGTATCATTTTGGAACTCAAATCTTTTGCCTGTACTGTTTAATCCACTATTATTCTGTGCAGTAAAAGGAGAAAATAGCCTGATGCTTTTGTGTTTTGGAGAAGACATTGCTAGAGAACTTCTTCCTGTTCATAACTTAGTGTTTTTCTCATCTTTCAAACTTCACCCAAAGCATAAATTTTGGCTCCATGGTGGTAGTTGGACTAGATGACCTTTAAAGGTCCCTTTCAACTCCAACTATTCTATGATTCAAGATGCTACATTTGCTCTGTGTTTTAATAAAAGTTGCAGTATTGATAACTGCATAGTATAAAGGTCGTAGAAAAGACAGAACTGCTTTTCTTGTTCTTCAGCCTGTATAGGAAAGCAATAGGTTGATAATAAACACTATATTAGAAGTATGATAAAAATATTCGATTTATTTTCCCAGTAAAATGCTTAGGAGTAATATTCTTCAAGTAGTTTTTAGAGTCAGAGGTTTTTGATCCTTGTTTTCTCTCCTCTGTTTTGATTAAACTAGATATGGGCAGACTGAAAATCATACCTGTGCACATTACTGAAGCAAGAGACCCACAGTACCCATATCTGACAGGCCTGCATCTGCCATTGTACCACTGCTGAAGAATAGGGACACTTCCATTCCAGGAAAATGGCTTCGTTCCTTTCAGGTAATCATTGTTTTCTGGAATCTTCATGATACTGTTAGTGGTATGGCTGCTTATCTAGAGAGAGAAAAGAAAAACAATCTTTTCAAAGAGCTGACTACATCTTCACATCCTAAGTATGCCTCAAAATCATCAGAGGTTAGTGTTACAAATTTATATTTCTTGTGAATCTGAGCACAGATTACAGTGCAGTTTGTCCTTCCATAATATAATGAAGCACGACCTGATGTATTCAAAGGTCTCACACCACTAGAGGTCTTACCATATGATTTACCACCATGCTAACGTGCACAGGATCATTGCGCCAACAGTGGTCACGATCAGAGCCGTGATGGTAACTTGCACCCATATCTAAGATCTTCAAGCAGATATCCAGTATCCCATCTTCAAACTGAGAAAAGAGAGGTTAACATAGGCATCGTAGTATTATGTCATTGATAAATTATCTTTCTTGTCAATAATCCAGTCTTTCTACTTATATGAGTTGCTCTCTCTCTCCTGCCCTTTCATTTCTTTTTTTGTTTTGTTTTGTTTTTTCTGTTGGTTTTTTTTTTTTTTAAATCAAGTACAGCTCCTAGTGGTCTGAATGGTTTTGTCTATCTGCCCGAAGGAAAACAAAAGGGAAAAATATGTCATTTTTACTTATTTTTGATCACTTGAATAATTTTCCTTTAGAAGCACAATATTTGTTTCACCTGTTCCCTGAACATTCTGCAGTTTCCTTAATTTTACTACAGAAAACTTCCTTCCAATTACTTGGGCTACAATGAGATTTTCAGACATTTTGTTTTATGTATGCATAGGATGGACTGATCCTAAAAACCTTTGCACTACAAATATAGTATACGTTTCTGAAAAAATACAGATAATGCATCACTTATCAGTATATGGATGACATCAATTTCTGAACAAGTCTTCAAAAAGTACCTGTCCAAAGTGCCATGGTCGAGAAGTAATATGCTTGTGAACTCCTTCATACAGTATTCCATGCTCATTCAGAACATATTCTTCTCTATGGGCCTGATTGTCCATATATACAGGGTCATCTGGAAAAAATGCAGAGCTATAATTCAGACAAAACATACGTTTCTAGCACTTCTGTATCTTCTGCTTCATTGCATCCCTCTTTCTATTCCTACCAATTTTTGATTTTTACTTTTAAGCATGTACAAGGTTGAGGGCTCTTTAAATGTTCACAGATAATTCATTCCTACTTACAGCTAGATACTATCTTTATTAAGTCTCTCCCTGCTGCACTACACCCTAATGGAAGAGCTTGTAATTTATCTTCACACTAAGCTGTTCTACAAGTCAAACACTGAACATGTAGAGTTGTGTAGCTCATTTTGATTAAATCAGCACAGACAATGTGAATATTTGTCATGTAATGATTTTGAAAAGGTCCTACAGAGTCCAGAATTGCTTGTTACCAGAGCCAGATCTACAGAATTTAATTTGTATTTGTGCTATGTTATTTCACGTTGATAACACAGAATTCACAGAATTACAAAATGGTTGAGTTTGGAAGGGACTTCTGGAGGTCATCTGGCCCAACTTCCAACCAGTTTCCCAGGAAAACAGCATTTGAATATCTCCAAGGATGGAGACTCCAAAATTTCTCTGGGCAATCAGTGCCAGTGTTCAGTCACCCTCACAGTAAAAATGTGTTTCCTGATGAATAGAGAAAATTTCCTGTATTTCAGTTTGATCCCAGTGCTTTCTATCCTGTCAAGATGACGTAAAAATTGCAGGAAAACATTCTGCCTCACCCCTTCCACCATTAAGAAAACAAAATCAAAACACTGGCTTGAGACAATCTTGAACTTGGAAAAAAAAAATAAAATAAAAAAACCCACCAAAATTCCTCTCTGTTTCTTATTATTTCTGTGACTCCATGCTTTACTTACCAGCTAAATAATAAATATGTTCAACATTTTTACTCATCACTAGCAATTTCCTTAAAACTATCTGATAATCACTAGAGTCCTTACCTGCACACCAAGGGTTAAAAAGGACATAAAAATCTCCAAGACATCGCTGATATGTGTGACCACAGGATGTGATTTGCATATTGAGAATATAACGGCCAATGCAGACATTAGAGGGAGGAAACACGCTGATACTGATGCATTTTGGCTGATGAATTTTGTAGGAAGCACTCCAGCAGGTTTGATCTAGACATCTGCCCATTGGGAAGGTGCGTTTTGTCTCATTTGATTCACAGGGTCTGAGGCCTTTTCAGGAAAATAAAAACAACTTCCATCAGACTAAACAAAGTACATGTAAAAGGCTAGTAATTTGCTTAGCCATCATTTGCAAGGCGAAGCTCCCAAGGGTGGATTTCTTTTTCACTTGTCACTTCTGTAGCAGAGTGAGAAAACTTTACATATTAGAAGAACTGCCTGGTTTAGGGGAAGGCAGTCTCTTCACATGGAAGATGAATGAGTAGATAATAGTTGTCACTGAAGATTATGGGAAATATTGCAAAGCAGCTAAGAGCTATGAAAGACTACAAAGTGTTTGGGAGTGACTACCTGTCTCCACGGTGAAAACAGCCTGGTCCATGGAGTCATCCCATTCTCGATTTTGGAAATGGGCGTAAAAACTGAAGGCTTGCCCTCTCCTTATTATCTGTCTGTCAGTTCCAAAGAAATGGGTATTATGTATTTGACAGTTGGAAGGACAGTTCAAGTCGACATCTCCCAGCTCAATGACTGCAGGACAGAGAAAGGAACACAAAGGAAAAAAAACCCACATAATTAAGTTCCCATCTTTGTCTGTGGTTAAGATTAGGTGGAAGAGGAGATAATGATTAAACACAGAGATAATTCTTTCAAAAAATTCATTCAAGACTTCATTCAAAATTCAGCAACTCTGAAATTGAGACATAAAAGTACCCTTACAAGTTCACCGCTTTCCTAGCTTGAAGGTCTAACTCTTTGATTTTTAAAGCTGTGCCACAAGTTTCACTTCTTTTATATAGTGCCTGCTTGTATTATAAATACTTGATGTTGAGGATGATATTAGTATCTCTATTTGAAAAATTGATTTTGCATAGTAATATACTCTCCACATTACAACACACTGTGTACAGATAGTTACTTTTCAACAACAGCAAGACAGCAAATGTTTTGCACGTTATCATTTGATAAGGTTCTTTATACAAGAAGTACAACAATAAAGTAAATAGAATAATTTAAAGACTTGATTACAAATACAGGTATTTGAAAGTGGCACTCTAAATGATTTATGAAAAAAATAGATACATATAAATATCTACATAAAATTATAAATAATGTTAAATATCCATGCAAATGTCTCAGTCTGCACTCCCAAAGTCCTAAAACTTTGCAGATCTCTTTGAGGAACCTAATGCAGAACGAAATATTCACAAATTGTGACATTTAAAAAATGCTGACAGTCTACCCCAAGTGCTATGATTAGCTTGACAAAAATCTTGGCTGATTCCCCCTTAGGCATTCTGCTTGCATATCAGTCATTTCATAGGAGTAATTATGACACTGGTGCCAGAAGGATGGGTGGCAACATTCATCTTTGCTTATTTGCATACAACTTTTTATTTTCAAAAGTGCTTCACTGTAATTGAAGACAATGGGAGCCACAGATTCTCAGCAGTTTTGGAAATTGGGCTTACTGAAGTACCAAGTTTGTATATTATTATAATTCTAAAGGTTTAAGTTTGGTCCTGCTAAGCCTACAGAAAAATCTAACAATGCAACTTCTCTAACTTTTTGGCACCAAGCTGAATACTGAGTCAGTGTTTAAGGGAAACTAATTTTTCCTAGAAACAAAGCTGTATCCACATAAAAGGAGATTCACAGTGAAGCCCATGAGACCAGGACACTTTTAACACAAAACCCTGGAATTTCCCAGGATCATATCCTGAATTAAATAACAATTAAAATTAATAGAGAGGGGAGGGTGGGTAGGAAAGGGGGGGAAAAAAAGAAAAAGAAGCACAGTTTTTTCTGATTTGTTGCCTTGAATAATAATATCTAATTTCTCATCTAATATTTAAATGTGGTGATGAATTGGTCACTAAACTCTTCAACAGAGATCAGCAACAAATGCAGACCTGGGTACTACCCATGTCAAAAACATGCATATTAGCAACAACAACCAAAAAATACAGCAATGGATTACATCATTATTGCTCATGAATACATCATATCTGCTGACAAGAAAGAGTAAAAGAATTGAACTGAAAAATCTCATATCTTAATGAGAGTTGTCCACCATAACATAAAGTGGTCTGGCAAAACAGAAAGTGCTTATGGCACACACGACGAATTCCTGTGGATAAGAGCACTGAAAGAACTTGATCCTTTCCTGGCCTCTGGAGGCATTTGTAAACCAAGACAACTACTCTTCATCCACTCATTAATCCAGCTGAACCGGAACATCAGGGAGTGGAGATATTACATCTTTCCCAAGCAAGCTCTCTAAAGTCAGCCCACAGTTTACTTATCAGATTTAAGTATCACAACTGGATCACAAAGGAGCTAGTGATTGCTTTCTTAAGCAAAGGCAGCTCAGAAAAAAATATTCAAGGCAATTCAATTTCACATCTCTTACTGGTTTTCTGCCTCTGGTAGAAACCCAACTGTCACTACCACTCACTGAGTTTTCTCTAACAATTCACATTTTGCCTTCATTCAGGACAGGTATTAATTGTGAAATAATTTCTTCTAGCATGAGAATACTGAAAACTAGTACTTTCTATGTTGGAAACAAAATTCTTTTCCATGCTATATCTTGTTCTCAAAATTGGCTGTTGCTTCACCAAATCTCCATAGGTCTATTTTCCTTTATAAAAGTTTCTTTCAAAAGTTTTTTTTTCCTTTCTCACTGACTCCAAAAAAGAACATTCAAACATACGAGTAATCCCTAGACTTGATGCCATATAAAAAAATATGTGCAGTTTTTTATGTCTGTACACCTGATCATTTAATTATTTATGCTTTCAGTCCTGACTCAAAGATAGTAAAGTTTCAAGACACTCACCTTCCATTTTTCTTCTACATGTACTATTATCTGAGCACAGTACTGGTGGAGGTGCTGGTCCTCAGCAAGGTACACTGCAAGGTCTGACAGATCTCCTCTGCAAACCAACCTAATTTCCTCTCAGTAACATTTATATTCAGAACTAAGAGGCCGTCACACATGTTGCATCAACAAAATACCAGTTTAAAAAGAGGCCCCACCCATGTGTCTACTGATGCTCATAAATGATTCATTTTAACTTCCAGCATTATTAGGGCGAGTCCTGTGGCTGGCTGAAGGGAGGGAAGGATCTTGGTACCTCACCTGTAGCGTAGTACTCTCAATGTCCTACAACTTGCTTTGTCTCAAAAATATTTTAAGACAAAGATGGATCTAAACGCATTTTAGAGTAAGTCATTATTTTTAGCCATCCAAAGTTCCCATAAATCCCAACACCTACTTCTCCCTTTTGGTTAGACATCTTCAGACACCTAGAGAGAAACAATAAAGAACACTAGACTTAAGCTGAATTTCTGCTCTCAGAATATGGTCCAGAGTGGACATTTTTATTATATAATATAAGTAGAAAGCTCAGCTTTCAGAAAGTCTGCATAGCGTTCTCTCTGAGTGAAGGTTGGAGTAAAATTATCAGTTATGAACTTTTCCAGCTGAATTGTAAAATATACAGAGGGTATGCATTAAGTGTTTTTGAAGCTGATGGTAAAATGTAATATAAAAATTACATAAATAATTTATACTTTCTGAGTATTTATTTTCTAGCACGCAGTTTTGCAGCTTCTTAGCTTACTCCATCTCCCTTCCCCTGAATTTATGAAAACCATATTCAATAATTTCTGTGAACAAAAAACATTTAAATATTTTGGCACAAAGATTGCACTATTTTATTTAGGTTCCAGGCATATTTAATAAAATAACACAATCACAACAGTGTTTTCTTTGCACACTCAATGATGAGGACATTGGCCTGTAAATAGTTGACCCGGATTGAAATTTCTTCTGGCAAAATCAGAATGAACATGTGCTACAGTTTGTTCTTATCCTTCTTATTACTCTATGCCAAGCTTTACTGCATAAGACACCATTTAAATTCCTCAAAGTTATTCTGCTTTGGATTAAAAAAACAAAATCAAAACCAAACCCAAAAACAAACAAAAAAAACCCCAACAACCCAACACAACCTTGAACAAAAAACCAAAACAAAAACCCAACCAACCCCCAAAAAAACCCTCAAAAACACCCCACCAAAAAACCAGAGAAACCAAACAAGCTTAGAACCAAAAAATCGTTCATTGATATAGAAAGATTCAGACACAATGACTGAAGTTCAGGGATTTGCGTAACTGTCTGGATGCTAGACAGTGCTTTAAGAAATCATGAAATGAAACAGCTGAACTAACATTGAAATAACTTAGTAAGCGTAACTTAACAACTCAAGTATTGTGAAATAACTTCACAAAAATTAAAGCAAAGAAAAAAATCACCACATCAACTATGTGTTTGGAAGAAAGTGATTAAAAGATTTGTAGGATGCATATGAAAGTGAATATAATATTCAATGTACTCATATTTTGAAAATTGTAAATATTTGGCTAGTCAGTAGGCAGACATGAAAAAGTGTGAATCCTAAGAATTTCATTTTTCATATATCTGAAATCTTTTTTCTTAGTATTTGCCATTTCACTATTAAAATTCCACTCATTGAAAAATGAAAATTTAAAACAAATACTTTTTCATAAGAAACAATTTAGTTGCCATACAGACATAATCAACTTTCAGTCAACCTTCAAAATGGAAATGGTTGTGGTCAAGTCAGCCATCAGAGATCTGCCTACAAACAGGTGTGCATGCTGATATCCAGAGACCAGAACAGAAAAGTTACGAAGTTGGTCACAGTTTCCAAGAACACATTAAAATCCCCTCAAAGATGTTTAGTTCAATCTTCTGGCTAAAATATCTTGGTAAAGGAAAGCCTGTGACAAATACAAGAACACAAATAAGCATCAGTAAGTGGCTGCACCTGTGGGTTCAAAGAGACTTAATTAAGAGTGTAAAATAATAAAGACCTGAATCAGGAGCAGAACACTTTCTGTATATATATGAGTCACTAGCCTTAGTAAGTATGCTTGCTTAGGTCCTTGAAGCTGCTTTGGTGCCTATCTGTCTCTGCAGGATCATTATATAGATGCCCAGCCCCAAAGCAAAGCCTCCCAGATCTCCAAGTTCCTGCCTATCAGTTTTTGCCGAGCCATCCAATTGCTGCTGCCAGCTCACAGCTATCAGACTGGTTGGTTCTCTACTCAAGCCCAAGTCACATGTACCTAAAGTAAGAATCTTTAACAAGGTAGAAAATCATAGCATACTAGCTCTCTTGGTGCACTCAGTCTATTCTTACCCCTCTTGTCTACTAAGCCCTGCATCATATCAGTTGGATTCAGGGTGTCCTTTCAACAGGGCCACCACCAAAAGAGGCACAGGAGACAGCACAGACAGGAAATGGAGATAATGGTTCAAAGAAAGGTTTTGCCTCTCAGCTTATGGCCTCTCTAAACAACTGATGCATCCCAATTGCTGACCTCCAAGGCAGGTTGCTGCCATCTATCCAAAGTGTCTCCTCCTGGATAAAAACAGCTGTCTGACAGCGAGGTATGCCAAGCTGAGATTAATAGTTAGTCCCTTGGTCCCAGCTGAGGGCTCTTTCCCCTCTGCCTCTGTGTTTTTCCTTAACACTTTACTCATTGTTCACTCAAGCTATTCTCCACGTTAACTACAGTGTCTTACACCTTCAACATTCCTTGAAATGTACAGAGCAGACGATATGCCTGATGCAGGCCTGAAAATTCTGCAGGATAGCACAATTATGAGGATCTAGGCACTTCCAGAAATTAAGCCATTTAGGATATTAAGTTCCTTTAAAGACCTTGACTTTGGACTATTTAGTGCACACAATAGTATAGATTACATTTATTTTTTACAGTATATTTGGGGTTTTTTTTAAATATTACTTACGTTGCAATAGACTGATGTATGATGAGCATTTACAAAGTCAAGTGGTGGTGCCTGCTAAGGCTCTGAAATCTCCATAGCTCTCAATTGCCCATTGAGCCACCAGGACAGGGCAAGGACTGAGGAACAGGGTATTGCAATCACAGAAAGAACATCTGTGAATGGCACTGATGCAGTTCTACTGCATCACTAATACATTTGTGAACAAAGAGAAGTTTCTGTAATCAAGCATCCATGCAAAGAATCCTTTCATGGAAAAGGAACTCAAAATGACAGTTTGACAAGGAGAAAAGGAAGGAATCAGAAAATATGTGAATTGAGATTAAAGTGTTTTGGTGAAAGTGTCATCTACTGGAAAGATGAGGTAACTGCAATTCCTAAAAAATATTTTTCAACTTAAACATGTGTCAGCAGGCAGCCTTGAAGTTCACTTTTTGCACTTGGTCATATAATTGTATTCCTTTGATCACTGGACCTGGGGTTGATCTTATAGCAATGAGTGATGGAATAAAAAGATACCTGTCAAGGCAGGATATTTGAAATCATTAAGTGGCATCACTGTCTGCTCCTGAGAGTTCAGGAATATTCATGTCTAACAAGGAAAGGGGATAAAGAAGAAAAAAATTGGATGCCATAGGTTAACTCTAAAATAAACACATTTGTTAGGAATCCACATCTGACCTTTTGAAGCCTCATATTACAAGGGTTACAGGCTGGCAAACATGAACTCTGTCACAGTACACACCCAAGAGTTTCTTAAAATTCATAAATTAATTTGCAATGAAGGTGCCTTTCATTAAAGAGCCTGAAAGCACTGGCAGCTACTCTGTTAAGTGTAAGCAAGCATTACAACACCATATTTACAGATGAATTAGGACCTAGAAATGCTTCAAATGAAATCTTAAACGAGAAGTCTGTGTCTTTTTAGAAGTACATGGCAGCTTTGTCTTTCTAGAAGCTGGAGGAAATTAGTAGCATTAAATAATTATAGGTGGTTTCTGACACAATGAAACCACCAGTCTTCATACAAAGAAACCAAAAACTCCTTCAAGGTAGCTCCCATCCAAGATGGACCATAGGACTTGCTTTGAGTTCTGATGGAGCTGCTTGCTCTCATCTCAGCCTTTTTCTGGGTTTCCATTAATTGTGTAAGCCGGTTTTTTGCTCCATTTAATAAGATGGTTTTTTTCAATATCCACAGCACTGATGAGAAACACACACACCTAGAATGTTGCAGTATATGCAGGATGCAGAAAGGTCAAACAATTATAGGATATGAACCTCATGACAGCAAGCAACATCATTTGTGTTTAAGGCATATTGGCATCATATAGAATAGAACCTAGACCTGAGTCATACTGTAGGCCTTACTTCTGTACTTCACCTTTGCTCTATAGCACTACTGTAGCATTTTTTTTTTAATTGGCTGTTTTTCTCATGTACCTTAATAACAGTAGCAACAGTGACCAGGTTAACTTAATAGAATAAAACCATAAACATTACATAAATTTCAATTAGTATGTTACAATAAAAAGAAAAATTTGACTTGTTTACCAAAAATCCCCAAACAAAACCAAAACCCCAACCCCTTTTCACAGACTGAAGCTAGAATTTATAGCTGAGTAATTTGCCGGGTAACCTATTCCAAGTTCACTTTCCAATGAGCTAGTTCCCAACTATATTTAAAAACGGAAGTGGAATAAGGTAGGACTGCTGTAAATTCAAACCTCAGCTCACTGAGCAGCAACTTTCCCACACAGAGAAACCTATAAATCACCCAGCCTGTGGTTATAACCCACCAGTCTAACTGCCCTAGCAATAGAGCAGATACCATGGATCTTTTACCTGTACAGCCAATGCTAATTGGAAAAGTCTTAGTCTGAGCAGTGGAAGTTGAAAGAATAAAACCAGGAGTGACATTTACTGCGTTGGATCACAGAAGGTTTGAGACACCCTGGAAGAAAGCAAGTTGGTTCCTATTCTGTTCTTTCATTTAAAGCTTCA